ATAATCACGACTCTGAATGGTAGACAGTTACTTTCTCGTAATGACATGGGATATCTGACTGGATAATAATCGATTTATTCATTTTAGTCTAATCAGAATATTAGGTAGCTAACTGACAAGATAAACATTACTGTTATCATGTATAGAGAATTTATACAGAAAGAAGAAGGAGAAGCGTTAAGTGATGAAATTGGTTCTCTCACGTAATTGAGTTTCTCATTTCCATAATAGTCAATGCTGATGACAGTAGTCGATTGCAGCTCAAATTAGACAGTTACATCTCATTCTAGCTTCATGCAGCTGACTCTAAACTCAATATTATCTATCTCCTCTATAGTTCCATGCTAAGTAGTGTTCATATGGAGAGTTCGTCTCGCTCGTTTTGAGCTTTTTTATTTTGAAGTATGTACCAAACGAAAGGTCTTTCTTTTTTCTATGGAATAGCATATAGGAGTTGTAACGAATTATTTTTCTTCTTTTTTGTCCTTTAGATGATATTGTTTGCTTGTATACTAAACAGGAAAGCACTATTGATGAAATTTACTCCCTATCGTATGTTGAAATTAGCGATCGACTTTGAATAATAAATCATTTGATAGTTCATTCAATGCTCTGAAACATTGTACACTTTCTCGAATGTTAATTATTTAGGTAAGACACTTTATTGAAACGCATAGCAGTCGCTAGTGCCAAAAGATTTAGTCTTTCTAACAAAAAAAAAACATGATATGTTTGAAAGCAGCATAAAAAAATTTAGTTCATCTCTGTTTGTCTCAAAATCTTTCGCCAAGTTTTACTTTCATCTAACAACGTAGCGCTGGTTCCTCAAAGTTACATAAAAAAAATTTAACAGTTAAAAGATCAATTTGATTATGAAAAGCCACTTCCAAATCTTGACAAAACAAGGAAAATCCAAAAAGATAAATGAATAAATAATGAAAATGATGTTTTGACTAACTTTATTTCTTGAACGTAATACTGATGCGTTCAGGGCTGAGTTGTCAGAGGAATTTATGACAAATATAGATCGACTTAGATTTTCATACTAATCTCAAATAAATGGTTTCTTTTTTTTGTTAGAAAGCTTATATATTTTGGCATTCACGAATAGTATGCGTGTCAATCAAATGTCTTACCTAGAAATTAACATTCGAGCAAGAGTAACATTTTTGTAGAACTTTGAAACGGCTATCAAATGATTTATCTTTCAAAATCAACCGCTATTTTCAAAATGCAATAGCGATTGAATTTCGTCAATTGTGCTTTCCTGTTTTTTTTTTATACAAGTAAACAATGCCATCTAAAGAAAAGAGGAAAAGAGTTGGTCGCACTCCTATATACCATTTTTTAGAGAACAGAAAAAGCTTTTATTAGATAAACAATTCAAAATAAAAGAGCTGAAGATGAAAGAAAATCTTTCCATATGAAAACTTCATAACATGAAACTATAGAAGATAGATAACATTGATTTTTGAATCAACTGTGTGAAGCTAAGAATATTCGAGGTACTATCGACTTCTGTTGTCAGAATTGACTACTAGGAAAATGAAAAGCTCAATTTTACAAGAGAATCAACTTCATCGCTTAATGATTCTTCTTCTTTACTAGAAAAGTGTAAATAGAAAATGAAAAACTCTCTTTCTTTTAAGACGGAGAAACTAATTTCTATTCCGACTTTTATATAATAGAATTAAAAAGTATATAATAACAAGTGAAACTACCGATTGAAGCATAAGGCGAGAGCGAATGAATGATTTTGTTTTTATTCAATTTCTTTGTATTAAATACTTTAAGCAAGTGTGTAAGCGAGAAAAAACAATTAATTGAAATCTCACGGTACAATTTCCTAAACAAATATTTCACCTGATAACAAAACCAATATAATAATAAATTAGAAAAATATTCTTACAAACAGTTTATTAATTAAACAAGAACAAAAGAGTCTTCTGATTAATCATAAAACAATTCCATCACAATCAATAAAACAATACCCTACGGATATTGCATTAGATGATAAGGGAATAAAAAACTTGTCTAACATGAAAACGGGCACCACAGAATATCTGCTTGTCTCAGTACTATTATAATAAATGTCAACCTGTTCTTACCATCTCGAAATGAAGTTTTTCATTCTCGACAAAAGTAAGTCATGAAAGCATTTTTTATGCTTTTTTTTCTATGATACAAAGAATATATGATTGATTACTCGAAAAATTTATAATATTTATTTCTATTTTTTGTTATTGGGATATTTTTATTCAAAATGAGTAGTATATCTAATTTTTGCATTGATTTTTCTTAAACAAAACAAGATAGAAAACTGTTATAACATCATCATTGAGTTAAATACTGATTCTCATTGTGGAAACTTTTGTTTTATCCTAAAAGTAATGTTTCGTTCACATTTTGTCAAATTAAAAAAAACATTTTTACTATCATAAACGATAAAAATAAGGTGTTTAGGATTTAAAAATGATAAATACAAACTTACATATCATTATGTATAAGCAGGTCAACGTCTTATATTTAAGTGTCGCAGTACTCTGTAAAATCTTATTATTATAAATGACAGTCATGTTTTCAAGGTTGTGGCTCTTTACACAATAACTATGAGTCATTCACACTAAGATGAAACTTATCTTTTTATATTGTTATCTATTTATCTCTTTTTCCTACAATTGAAATGAAATAAAAAAAGTGACTGTTAACAAAAGTTTAAAAACCAATGAAAGACTTTATATTAAAAAATAATTTTTCTTGCATGTTTTGTTGCAATAAACTCTTCTACTAAATTTATCCATATCAATTTTAAAATTCTTTCAATTTTCAATACCACCAAGCTTGATAATTTTTTCTGTCTCATGCCATTCCTCAACTAAGTTTTTAGTTGTCTTAACGACTAAAAACTTCGTTCGTATTCATAGTAGATATATGTTCTATAAAATCTTAACTAATTCATTTATACATAGAAAATGTTACGTTGAAATTAATCTTCAGAATGAATTTAGTTGCTTCAGATATATTCTGTTGCTATGTTTCTTAAGTGTTTGTATTACTCATTGCGGCATTTAATATTAAAGTGTATTTTGGCTATATATGTGAATATCATTAAGAATGTTTTAGGTGTTACAATCATCCTTTGATAGCCTGTCCATGTCATTATTTAACTTCATAATTATATCATAACAGTTTTCTAACTTGTCTTAAATAATCAATGTACAAATTTGGTATAATATTCATAGTGAGTAAAAATTTTCCAATAACATATAGAAATAGATTAAAATTAAAAATAACATCACTTGAACCATTAAAAAAGTATGATGAAAAAGTTACGCAAATCAAAAAGACTAATTTGGAAATTTATATATTTTTCAAGTAATTATTTTTTCTATGTATCAAAGAAAAAAATCATAAAAGTATAGTTATATAACTTACTTTTATACCGAACAGGTTGATATATATTGAAATAACACCAAGACTATCATTTATTTGCGTACATTCGTTAACTCAAAAATATAGCAATTACTGACACGTTTACTTACTTGTGTAAAAGATAGAAAAGGACAAATGATTTTTATGTCATATAATGATTGGTAAAAAAAATGCCGCATTAATTTTATTTTTATTATAGCGTGACAACAACTCGTTGTTGAGACTTGATTGTTCCCTTATTAGAAAGAGCAAAGTCTCTATCACGAAGCTGTGGGAAAGTATTTGCTTCACTGAAAACTAAAAAGTTTTCTGCACGCTTCTGAACTTTAGAAAATATTTATTCACTGACAAAATTAATCTTATTTCCCTTTTTGTTTATCGGATTTTGTAGTACTACGATAGAGAATTGTGAACAGATAAAAATAAAATTTTCCAAGTTATCGATTGAGTTCAAAATAGACATCTTGTTAACACTCTTAGCTGACGAAAAGGACTCTCAACTATTAAGCAATTTTGAAAAATATGATTTTTTCGAACAATCGAAGTTAGTGAAACGTCATATTTCATGTTCATTTAGAGTTAAGTCATCCCTCACATTATATAAAATGGAATATTAAATATTATGAGAAAAAATTCATTGGTTGTTGTAGAGGAAAATCTAGTCTTTAAATAAGTATTGGTTACATTCGCACATAATGGACGTAAGAATTTCGATAACCAATTACAAGAAAAATCGATTAAATGCACTTGTATGTGAAGTTACAAGGCACTCTTCCAGTCAAACATCTTCTCAAAGCTGTTAAATAATTTGAACAAAATATATTTTACACAATTTTGTAAGTAGAGATTTTGCACATTCGAATAAACAACTACTGAAGACATACCAAAAAATAGTAATTTTGTCAAATAAAAACTTACACAAAATAGTGAACCAACTTTTTATTTCCAGAAGGATTTGAGCGAGTAGCGATGCTTAATTACGCACAACTATGTTTCAGATAATCTTTGATGGATCAAGTTCATCATAGCGGTTAGCAACTATTCCGAGCAGTCAACTTGTTATGAACATAACTAACTACAGAAATACATGAAGTGATGATAGCAGGTGACAAATTGAAAACCAGAGTCTCTGAACTAAAAGAATAACAATCGAACAATCTTCATCAGCTACAAAACAATTATTCAAACACTCTGTACAACAAACTGGCAGATATTGAAATAAAGGAATACCATAACCAGGGTGATAAATGTTTTAATCAAAGAATTATTCGCAAAATAGCTTCTACAAATTGATTGTACGTGATTAATCATAGCTATTAGCTTAAATACTTGATTAACCCTTTCCTGTGAGATTTTATTTGCCAAAATCACTTTTTGTCAGAATGCTCTAACAATATCGAGTCTCTACTATAAACCCTGGCCACGATAAACTGAAAAAAAAATGAATGCAAACTTTTGCAGTATGCGTTACTCATTTTCTTTTAATAATTATTAAGAAAAGAAAAGTTAATCATTGTACTCAAAAGAGAATAATTTGCTTTTTTATTAATTATATTTAAAAAAAAATATCAAACACATCGATTAGGTAAACAAAAATAATCTTGTGGTAATGATGTGCAATGTTGTGAATCGAAATCAATTAAATACTGATTAACAAAATAAATAGCGAAACGTTGTCGTTGATCGAATGAAAAATTTTCACCTTCGAAAAAAAACCGTTTGTTAAAAGAAATTTTTATTATTTTTTAAATTTAAATACAAACCAAATTTGCAAGGATATGATCCAATTGGATTTTCTAGTCGATATTGATCAATTTGCTTCTGTAAATCCTCTATATCTGAACAATATTTATCAAATAAAGTTTTTTTTTGTATTTTTTTTGCAGAAATATATTGTTTTAAAAGTGTAAATATTTCATCATTATTATAGATAAATGGATAACGATATGGTAAAATAAAAAATAAAATTTCATTTGCACGATTAGTTTCTAATTTACCAGGTATAAAATTCATTATTTCATCGTATGTACGACGTATAAGATAAAATGGTCCATTATAGAGTTTAAGTAATTGAATATTATTTAAATCAAGATAATAACGTATAATTTTTTCAACAAATTTTGATGCAAATGATGGCATTTGTTGTTGTGCTAAGGGTAAAACATCATCAAATACAGCATCAAGTATAAGACCACGAATATCTTGATAATGTACAGCTGCCCAACATGCTGCATAGCCACCAATTGACCAAGCAAATATTACTATATTATTAACGGAAAAATGAAGTTCTTCAATCGCATAACGCATTATAGCATCAATGGAATTTATTTCTGAGACTGCATCTGGATAACCCTAAGAAAATAATTTTTTTTTTATTTCTTTAGACAGCAATATTTACGATTATAAATGAAATTTTATTGATGAAAAAGCTCTTCTAATTATGAATCAATATTATCAATAAAACTAGAAATTATTTAGAAGAAATTATAATCTATGAACCTCCCTTATGATGATAGTATCAAGTTAGTTCAATTAAGAAACTTCAAGATATTATACAGACAGAAGAAAAAAAATTGATTTTTTTTCCCGTTATTATTTATATTGAAAAGAAAACATTAATATTTATGAGAAGATCTAAGAAGTGAACCGAAAGTTTCTAGACAAATTATTTGATTATTTTTGGTATAATTTAAATACATTCGAAAAGAGTGAAAAGTATAATATATTAGAAGCAAATAATTTTGCTACTCTTTCAGAATATATGCTTAAATTTTTTTTGTGACTTTTTACTATTCAGCTACGTATGTTGTAGAGAACTGTAAACTGTATCTTCCGATATATTCGATAAAATTTTGTGGCATGCCTAGAGCAAGTTCTATTTCAGTTTTATTCTTCACAAAAACATTTTAAAGTCTTTTCAAGGTTCACTCACAGCTCAATAATCAAAACTCACAGAAAAATCTAAGCATACTCATGTGATAACTACCGTTGGTTTTTTTTTGCAAGCTTTTTATCATGGTGTATTGTATCAAAACGGATGAATAATTTTGAAATCTGTTAAAGTCGATAGAATCGAGTCGTTTACAATGCACTAAGATATGGTTGATGTGTCCCTACTAGTCATAGAATCCAAATCGGTCTCAATTCTCAAATAAGCTTTTATTGTAGATTGCGCTGCAAAAAATTTTATTAGTAAAATATATTCTGAAACTTATTTTTTGCTTGGTTAATTGGAATTGTTTCTAATAAATTATTTGCATTTGTGTAGAAAACACTTTGCAATCGTTTATAGCTCGAACCGAAAATCGTAAGCACTACCGGTGGTAGTGCCACGTGAGTATATTTTGCAAGAGTGCAAAACTCTGATTCTTAATATACTACTTCTTACTCTTTTTCAATGTATTTAAATATGAAAAAAACTAATCAAATACTTTGTCTAGAAACTTTTGACTCATCCCGTTATAAGATATTTTAACTTATAAGATGCTCTCAACTTAAGATGAATAATTTATGGATAGAAACTTTTCTTTTTTCCAATACGATCAAGATTCATTTGTTTAAATGAATTTTAATACTTTTCTATTTAACTCACCGAACTCTCACAAAATCCTGGTCTATTCCATCCAAGTACTGAATAACCAGCTTCGATTGGTGTCATCATACAACCTACTTCATAAAAGCCTGCATTACCTTCACAAGTAATAATTAATGTTTGACCATTATCTGTTGAACGTTGATCAACAAATATTGAATCAATATGATTTCCATCAGCTGTACGTAATATATAACGTTTAGCACGATGAGAAATAATTAAATTTGTTCGTCCATCAAGTAAAGCACGATTACTCATATGATGAATAATTTGTAAACTACCAGGAAACATTAAACGACGACCAAATACATTAACACATATATAACCAAGTAAAAGCGATGGATAATGAAATAATCGTTCAATGAATGTTGTTTCTGTTTGATTAATTAAATTTTCTTCTGATATTGATATCATTGGTAATTTACGAATATTAGATGATTGTATTATATAATCAGGTTTCCAATGTGAAAGTGAAAAATCATATTTAGCTAAAAGTTTCTAAAATAAAACTTTAAAAAGTTTATTTTATTTCTATTTGACATTTTTTACTACCTGACGAGCTTCTTGTGTAGAATTATATTTTACTTGAAAAAATTCATTAATAAATGCTTTATAAGTTGGATTGCTAAAACGACTGATTCCTAATCAAAAGAAAAATGACCTAATCAAAGTAATAATATATTAAATTTAACGAACCACGTAATAACGCAAACCAGATTGGTATAATTACAATATAACAGCTAAGTTGTAGAAGTGATATACCGTTTTCATATGTTAATGATCCTTTATAATAAAAATATAGTATAAATAATGGCAAAACTATTCGAAGTGTGCCAAAAAATATTTTAAGCTAAATTATATTCAAAATGTATTCGAAAAACAACGAATTTCAATAATAATAATCTTACAACAAGAAAAACATTATCACTGAGCGTTTCTGTTGTATTTTTTATGTATAGATGAGTAGGCTAGAGTAAAATAGATAAAAATTTCTTTCAAAAAACTTTTGTTTAAAATATACTTGTCGATTAGGTAATGGTGGCATAAATGGATAGGTTTGATAAAGTTTGGGACCAAAGACACATTGCCAAAATAATAAAAATTGATTTTTCAACATTAGTAAAAGGTTAAATAAATAGGAATGAAAAATGCCATTACGTTTACATGTGTTGCTATATAGGCCTTGTACACGCTACACGAATTATTAAAACTGAATGAAGCAATTTGATTGGTGTTACTACGTGGAAACACTAATCAGACTGCACAATCTTGTTTAAAGGTGTATAGTGTGTGTACAAAGTCACAGGTAATAAGCGCTTTCTGTCGCCTATCTAATAAATTGATTCAGACGAATGTGAGAAGATGGCGCTATTATTCAGAATGAGCAAATATATTCTTTTTAAAGAACCGGCATACCTACAATATTAATTGAGCAATTGTATTACTTATTAAAGCTAACGAGAAAAGATGCCCAACTCATGTGAAAATTTTTTTTTATTATAAGCTATTTATAAATGGATTAGACTAGCTTATATTTTCTCTGAGAAAGCGTTTGTAAGAGCACATTTTAAGCCACTTAATAGCGCTGCAAACATATTTAAGTGCTTATTAGCGATTAAAACAATAGTAAAAACTCTTCCAAGTCGCTTGTGGCAGCTGAAAAAGTCAAATTCTAAGTTCTTACCAACTGCTTAGAACTCATCTATTGGAAAGAAGCAGATAACCACTTAACTGTAAGAAAACTCGGCGCTTTGCAACCACTTAAGTTCCATGTAGCTGAAAAGCACTTTATGATTTCGTTAGTTCTAAGCAGTTGGTAAGGACTTAGAATTTGACTTTTCCACTGCCATAAGCAACTTGAAAGAGCTTTTACTATTGTTTTAATCGCTAATAAGTGCTTAAATATGTTCGAAGCACTTTTAAGTGACTTAAAATGTGCGCTTACAAACGTTTTCTAAATGCAAACTCCATCCATCATGAGTGTGTGTGTGCGTGTTCTGAAGCAATACTCAAAAAAACTTTCTTGCAGGCAGATTTAATTGCGTGAATGTTTCTCTAATAATAATTTTCATATAGTAGCTGCTCGAATCAAACGACCTCTTGTATTTTGATCTAAAGAAACTATTTTATAAATATCATTTAAATATAATGATGTTCATTGGTTTCTTTGTCATTTACAAACTTATTTGATTTAGATAAAAAAAAAAAATGTTACGGTCCCACAAAATAGCAAAGAAAATCTATTAATAATAAACAAACAGTGAAATGAAAGACAAATAATCTACGTAGTCATATGTTCATGAAAGAGATTTAATAAGTTGATTAATCAGAGACGAGTGTAACTTCTAATAATTGAACCGTTTATGAATATGTTACTTGTAAACAGATGAAAATATGTTCAATAGAGTTAATTCGAAAAAGAACAATAACTTTAATAATATTTATTTATGATATTTGTCATTTTATTGAAGAATAAAAAATGTAAACCTGCACACTGAATACTTAAAATTATGTTTATCGATTAAAAACAAATTGTTGAATTTTGCTTTGTTTATTTTTCTAGTTTTTTCATTATTAATTTCACCTTCATGAATTATTCTTTTTCGATTTAATGAATTATCTTAATTTTCACTTGTTATTTCAATATTTCTATCAGTCTCAAAACAACAGGTTAATGATAAATTAAAAAATACAATAAAAATGAAACGTCAATTGTTATTTTATCTTATGATGAAAGATAAGACTGTATTAATTGATGGTTTTCATTTATTTAATTTATCTGTTGTTGATGTTTTATTAACAGAATTTACCTAAATAAAATAAAATAAAGTAAAATAAACAAGAAAATCTTCATATACAACAAAAAAAAAACATCTTTTCTAAATCTATTGTTAAATGAAGCATTTGATGTTGATAGTTTTGGTCAAGTTGGTTAAAATATTAATGAAATTGAAATAACTGACAATGATAAATAAGATGGCATAGGAGGAGGTCGAGATAAAACCGTTGAATATCTATTTGTTTCTATGTTTGATCTTTTCTTTGTTAAACTAATTAAACATTCATTTTTTGTGCTAATGTTTATTTATTATATTGAATCAATTAATGGCCAAACTTCAAATACAAGATATTCATGATTAGGTTACAAAATAACGAAAAAACAAATTTATTTTTAGAATTATTTTTTCTAAACTTATAGAAATCATTTTAATTAAACATCGTCATTCATCATTCGATATCTTTCACCATCAATTCAATTATTAAATAATTTTATTTTAACATAATCACTCTAACAATTAAATAAATAAATAAATACATAAAGTTCCTACGAAACAATACTGTCAACTGTGACTGACGTTTTCTTTGTCTATCGATTTAATATAAAGCTAATAGAAGAGCGTTTATTGAAACAAGTAATCATAAAACCAAGATTAGAATATGATTGACTACGATGTTCAACAACATGTTATTAAAATTTACCATAAATATCATTTATTCGTAGTAAATTATTTTTTTTCTATTATTTTTTTAACCTAAGTTAATAATAAAATAGATATTTTAATATAAAAAATAAAACAAACTTCTTGTTTAAGATTAGATATTAATAATGATTCAAATCGATTGCCTTTTTTATGTCTAAATTTATCTTAAATTACTAGATTTTTCTATATAAGAACATTTTCAATCATCAGAAAAATAAAATGAAAAAAATAAAATAATCCTGATCAAAATCACATTTGTCGTTGATGTTATTGATTATGAACTTGTTAAGCAATAATCATTTCTTATATACTAAAGTACATATGACATAGCTTCTTATTTTCGAAGGATTTGAATTAAATCCAATGAAAAGAAAATTTTCATGAATAAAAGATAAAAACGTTATGTTGAATGATAAATATTCAATATTTGATTTTGATAAACAGATATTGAAACAATTTGACATTGAAGACGAATAATACGTTGTTGACTAATACTCATAGATTAGAAAATAGCAAAGAAAGATGATGCGAAATGAAATACCACTTTTTATAATGAAATGAACATCATTGTTGATGTTTTTTAATTTTATTGGTGAAAATCAATATTTACATTCATAAAAACGATTCATTTTCCATAGAAGCCATTGAATGAAAGTCATTAAAAATCCACGAAAAATCTCATTGTGAAGACCATAAGCACAAACTAACTCTTAGTTCACCTGATTTAACTACCGACTCAGGAGAGTAGTTCTAGCCAGAATTATTGTACAAGTTTGGGATGATTGTCCTTCGAGCTGTTATGTGGTCAACCTTCTAAAAGTTCATTTTATTCTGCCGTCACGTAAAATGGCATATACATAGAGTATACAAATATTTAACCAACTTAAGAAAAAGCAAAGCATGACTTGATTTCTATTCTAGCAAGTTCTGTTTGTTAAGAAAGTGGTACGTATAACGATAAGTTTATAGATAAGATTCAAATCAATCACCTTTCATTATGTTTTTTCAGAAAAAAAGATATTATGGCATATCAAGTTTTTCACATCAATGTCATTGATGAAAATCCATTTTACTTTAAGTAATAAATATTTTATAGTTCAATTTAAATCGATTCGTATGTCGTTGTAACTTCATTCACTTGAACTTGTTGTTTCTGAAAAAATTTTTCTCAATTGGATTTAACTAAACTCATGACTTGAATTAGTTGATATGGCTGTGATCTCGAGAAGTTCAGTGGATAATGTTGCGCTGATCGACATGTAAAGAAAACGAACGTTATATATCCATAAGATGTACCACACTATGTACATGGTGAAAGAAAAAAAGTGATAGTATTATGCTAATATAAAAGTAGAATATAGAAACACAGGTATGATTAAGACATGTCTAAGTAAGAACCTAACAGAATATGATCGAAAAATGCAAGATACTCTATTTTTTCTGAGATTTCATTTCGTGAGTTCATCTTTTCATCAAAATTAACAGAAGCCATATTTTTGAATTGAATTGAATTTGCAGATCCTGATAACTTTTATCAATCCATTGAAAATCAAGTGAAGTCATGAGTTGAATTAGTCTTCTTTTACATTGATTCGCCTAGCTGTAATGAAAGAGAAACCCACTATAGCCAATACAACACCAAGAAACTAATCGATTACATGATACTATATGTTCTATTTTTGTTCGATCAAGATTTTGTCACATCTATTTCGATTTTAGGACGCAGCAAATGTTGGTTTCATAGAAGTACTTGCCCATTTGTTCGAAAATGAATCCATCCTCATTGAAAGTATTTAATTATCATTTTTACATCAATATTCAACACGATAAATGCAATTATTTTAAGACTTCAGAGTATTTCATAACCATTTTGCCGTCGAAAGTAATGCATAAAAAACGTCAACTCATTTGGAAAGAGTGTCTTCTCACATCAACATTATTTACTTTCATGAACAATGCCACCACCGAAGGTGTCAGTTAAAACAACAGATTCTCATATATTTATGATCTCGATAATGAGATAGGTTGTATTTCCTATGAACACCTTCAGCTGATTCTTAAAGTTCTTAATCATTGAACACCATATTCTTTTCACAAAAAACTTTCGCGACTTGATAATCGTTTCATATAAAAACCATCATAAATGACAAACTGAATCAGATACTCAAATAGTCATCCTCTCCAGCCATACGAACAACTATCATTCACACTGGCGAACACTCAGAGCAAAAATCTTGGGTTCAAAAGTCTACTTCATTTTGCGTGGCTGAAACACTTTTAACACAAGTTAGCCTACATGATATAAATATTAATCATAACAAATTAAACGATCTATTTTCACTAAAGTCACATGCAGCACGATACAAAAAAGAAACTCCTATGTCTTTATACTTTCGCTATGAGAAAACCAACGCGGTATCTTCAATATCAAGCACATAGTATTGAAAATGAAAACGGCTCATAGTCCGTTTCGAACAAAAAGAAAAAAAGAAAAGTCACATATTTAACAGGTCGCTTCTGTTCCTCAACAAAGCATTTTCAATAAGAAGGCTCACGATTTCGTCGGTTTTTTGTTCCGTTCAAGGAGTTCCGAGAAATTCTCGAAAGCTCGCCTGCAATTTGGTTGCTGGAGAGA